TATTGCAGGTCTCTTCTCACATCTAGCATATGCCATTTTTATTCCTGAGAACATAAAGGGCTGGATTGGGGAGGGGTGAGGACAAAACTACTGCCTGTGAACAGTGGGAGGAAAAACAGGAGTTTATCTCTGGATAAACAAAGGGTTTCTCCAAGCACCACTTTATATGAATGAAACCCACATCACGAGGTCTGAAAACCCTCCTTTCTAATGTTATCACAAGTAGTAAAACAATCCAGTAAGTTGGCAGCTTCAGGGAACAGGCTCTTAAACTGGTGTTTAAGAAGGTAAACCGACAACTAGAAGGGCTTGGAGGCTTCTCCTCCTCTTAATAAGCCAATATAGAAAGAAGCGTCTTCTTGTCCTTGATTCTATTAAAAAAAACAGGCTCAGAACTCTCCAGAGGGAATATATGTCAAAGAAAGGAATAAAGAACATTTATCTAGTATTTAAAGCATACACTTCATTTAATATCGAACTGCCAAGTTCCAGACAGGAAAAAAACCCCCAGAGAATAGCACCTGAGCTTTTATCTACTACCATGTGCAGGCCTTAGTCAAGTTACACATATTGTACAGAAAAACTAAGGTCCACTGAAGGTGTGTATACCAGGAGTTCCTTAAGCCAATGAACTGAAAACCTTTATAAAAGAGAAGGAATAGTGCATTATCGAAGGCTACAGCTGAAGCCTCGTGAAATTTGAATAAAAGTCAAGTCCATCTTTCAGTTTCATCCACCAGGCTACCTCAGACTCCTTTTCTAGGGAAACCCTTAAAATTCCTCATGGACTCCTGAGGCGATTATTTTATTTATCTGTTTTAAAGTGTAGCTATTTAGGAGAGCAAGAGGCCCTTTTAAGTGCTTCCACATATATGTATTACAAGGTCTTCTGGGTGGGTAGAGGGAACCTTTTGCAAACACATGAAAAAAGTCCTGAGGGAATTTGTATCTACTAATTTATTTGACTGTGTCCCTCTGGAAAAGCCAATGAACTTTTTTGTCCCTGCCCTTGGAAATGCTCCCCTGACCTTACAGACCTTGGAGGGGAGAGTCAGCTTTCTAAACAATCTGATCCTCAAATTCCAGCACCTTCTGGGAAAAGAGGGGAAAACTCCTCAACTAGAGGACTGCTCTCACGTATCTGCCCAGATTGCCTAATTTTGCTGTCTGTTCTGAGGAGAAAAGTGTCTCATTTTCCACAGAAACAAACCTGGAACTTCTTCTTCTTCTTATTATTATTATTATTCATTTCATTTCTAGACCACTATATATTTTTTAAGGGGGGGGAACTGACAGCAGTTTACAGCCTACGCTAAAACATCAAACAAAACAATCCAGAATCAAACATTACCGATGAAAGTCAATACAAAGTATATCTTTGCATCATAATTAACAGGGAACAAAAAAACGTTATCTTAAAAAAATTCAAAACAGAACATGACGAAGAAGGTCAAGTACAGAATGCACATTTAAAACAGCATTTTAAGATTCCTCACCAAACATCTCACCCTTTATGTTTCTGAGGGGGGCGAGAACTGACACAGGTAGCCTTGAGATTGACAAGGTTTGAGGAAATCTCCTTGAAGATCAACAACCTGACGTATGTCTATCTGCAATGATAACATATCCATAGCTCCACTCCTTGACCTTAAACCCCTGGAATTTCAGGGCTGGGAAACATGGAGAAAAGATGCACTTTGCAACCTGCAAAAACTTTTGCATCACAGTCCAAGGTAACACAATCTCCCAAAAAACTGATTAGCAAGCAACCTTTTTCTCCAGCTGACAACTTTGTGGGCAAAGCGACCTAACATCAGCCATCACAGCAGAAACACAGGAAACTAGAGACTGATTTAAACTTATTTGGAAAAAGCCTACTGAGCCTTCCAAGCGTTATTATTGAAATGAGAGCTCAGGCTGCAAAATCTGCCTGGCCTTTGCCAAGCAGGCAGAGAAAACTTCAGGTGTGAAAAGGCTGCCTTGAGAAACCGCAGATTCCAACTCTGAAAACTCACAGCAGAAGCAGCCTAAGGTTTCTGCATAAGCCAGCGGATCAAGCACTGGGCTTCCCTTGTAATCTCAGTTCTGAAGGAGGAAAAATATACGATCCCTGTGACCCATGTGTTTGGGGTGAATAATAAAAGTATCAGCTGGGTGTCTGGATTCAAAATGTGGGTTTTAACAGTCTCTCCAGCAGGAGAGAGCCCCCAGTAGCAGAGTCACAAAGTCAAGCAGCACAGGGAAGCGTTAGGAATGCAGGCTGTTAAGCCTTTTACCCAATTTAGTCCTCTTGCAAACAGCGTTCCTCTGTTTCTATTTACCCCTCTTGCAATGAACAGACCACATACTGTTAAGTACGTTTAAAATGCTTTACTTACTAAATCCAAGGGTCTGATTCATTGTCCCATACAGCAGCAGGGAGAACACAGCTAGATTACTCCGGGGTGCAAAATACACAATATAGTTTCCAACATGTGGTCTAAACCTGCAGCAAGTTCAGACACATCCATCCTGGGTGATTACATGGCGAGAAGAGGGAAGGAACAGGAAGAGAAGGTTTTAAGTGATTTCTCATAAAAGAAGAGGGGGTGTGACCCAGCTGAGTCTAGGAATCAAGCTCTATTGTCTTAACCCCTTCATGCGCCAACTAGGACTCATGTTTGACTGCAAGTTCAACTACAAGTTTGCATGGGTAGCCTCCGTCTACCAAGCTGTAATGTCTCAGCTGCAGGCCCTTTGCTATAAAATGGAGACTAACTGGCTGGGCTTTTGTAGGGACAGATGAGATGGATTGTAACGTATTCCATGCATTTAAAAAGGCTATAAAATGGCTCTTTAACAGCTACATTTTAATGATATACTCAGCCGGTTTCTATGGAGATTGTGGTGGTGGCCAGAAAAGGGTGCTTCACTTTAATATCATTCTAGTATGCATCAGCCACTTACTTCAGGGATAAATCTTAAAATCACAAAAGGATTTCTTGCTAACCACATGACCAGGGCTGAGCACAAGCAATTGGGGAATGTTTGGTGAAAAAGTATGTCTGTCATGTCAAAAGTAAGAGTTTCTGAAGCACATATGCCTGGAGCTCCTTTCTCACCCACCTGGTCCTGCGATTTGTAAAACTGTTGTGGCCAGTTTGAGGCACACTGTGGTTTTAAAAAACATTGCCCAGGTAGCCTGAATTCAACAGCAAGAAAAGCTGCAACCTGCGTAAATTATGCAAATAAAGTATATCCTCATAATTTCACACTGGTGGGGGTGGGCTTTGCTAGTTATGGGGAAAGGAGAGATGTCCATAGTCACTCTGCGTAGTTACATTAGAGGGCAGGCAAGAAAGAGATACTCCTCCACCAACTGAGTCAGGGATAGGGGAAACCTTTCATTAGCATGGCATTCCCTTCTGGGGAACCTGCCAAGGGTTGCAGGCCAGTAGAGGGTGGAGTCAGGGGCAAAAGTGAGTGGAGCAACAAATTTTAGCTTTGCACAATACCCTAGTTTATATTCTCATTGCTGCCCATCAGAGTGAGAACAGTGACTCCAAAGGACTTCAAAGAAACTCCGGCAGCACTGAGGATGAGCTGACATCAGAGTCATCAGGGGGTCACAAATTAGAACTGCTTTGCTGAATATTACTGCTTTGCTCTTGTCTTCTCCCCATATGAGGGATGTTATCAGTGCTTTTTTTCTGAGGGTACTCAGGGGTACGCAGTACCAGCACATTTTTTCAAGAAGAAAAGCACCGGTTAAAAGTATGGCACTTGCTGTAACAACTTCATGGCACCTCTTTTTTCTAGAAGAAAAGCATTGCTGACATCCATCTCTCTTCTCCATTTGGGGCAAGCAAGGGGCAGTGTCAGAGCTCAAGGGCACATTCCCTGTTATCCACAATTAGCAATAGTCCAAAGTTGGAAACAATCCCATTGAAATCTGGTTAAATAAGATTTGGAATGTGGCTCTATCTCACCACAGAAGGGTAATTAAAGGCAGTTCAAGGATAGACACTTTTGGTGAGACTTGGCTTCCTTTCTTTGCCTTTATAAATAGAGACAGAAGGTACTTTTATTCCACCCATAACACAATAATCTCTGTGGAGAGGCTACTTGAACTGATAATACATAAATAAACATAGTGCTTCTGTGCTATGTACTGTGGATGGAACTTAATAAGAATGTTCCACTGGACAAGTTGCTGTAGTTATATGCTGCTCTTATTGTTGTTTAGTCGTTTAGTCGTGTCCAACTCTTTGTGACCCCATGGACCAGAGCACGCCAGGCACTCCTGTCTTCCACTGCCTCCCGCAGTTTGGTCAAACTCATGCTGGTAGCTTCGAGAACAGTATCCAACCAGCTCATCCTCTGTCGTCCCCGTCTCCTTGTGCCCTCCATCTTTCCCAACATCAGGGTCTTTTCCAGGGAGTCTTCTCTTCTCATGAGGTGGCCAAAGTATTGGAGCCTCAGCTTCAGGATCTGTCCTTCCAGTGAGCACTCAGGGCTGATTTCCTTCAGAATCGATAGGTTTGATCTTCTTGCAGTCCATGGGACTCTCAAGAGTCTTCTCCAGCACCAGAATTCAAAAGCATCAATTCTTCGGCGATCAGCCTTCTTTATGGTCCAGCTCTCACTTCCATACATCACTACTGGGAAAACCATAGCTTTAACTATATGGACCTTTGTTGGCAAGGTGATGTCTCTGCTTTTTAAGATGCTGTCTAACCTGCTCTTATATTTAAATGGAAAACAAGAAAAATGACTGGGGAGAAAGGACACATTCCAGTCAGGCAAAAACACGGGGGGGGGAGGAGGACCAGTGAGTGGTGTGGCCTGGGGAGAATTTCAAGGGCTCCATTCAATCCTTGGGCCTGAAGGTCCCCACTCTTCATCTAGGCCAAGACCAAGTGCCACCTGGTTCATCCCCCTCCTAGCCTTGTCTCCACCAGTGCCCATTTCTCCACCTGGCTATTATGTGAGTTTCATGTGAATTATGGAACAAATAGACATGATAGAAAAGGAATAAGGGATGAGGAGGGAAGAGAACAACCAACAGATTTGTTGGTTGTCCTCTTCCCTCCTCATCACTCTTTCCTTTCCTTTCATGTCTATTTGTTTCGAAGCCATTATGGCAAGAACCCATCCAGTCTAGTTTCTGTACAGCCCTAATGAGCATCTTGGTGTAACTAAACATGCACACCCAAGCAAGGTGGTGGGTTTATTTCCTGTCCTCAAGGATAGAGAAAAGTTTAGAGGTAGACTCATGTGGAACTTGAGCCTCAGAGGATTGAGGGTGCTTGGCAAAAAAAAAGGGGGGGGAGGAGGTAAGGGTTGCAAACCTCTGGCCTGAACCAGGAATTACTGCTCCATCCTCATAGCACATCAGCAGCATCTTGTTTTCCTTGAATATATATGTTGGAGCAAGCAAACTACCGAACAAGCACTTATGGCTGTATTAGGGGCATCAATATGTCAGGCAAAAATAGCTCTTTTATTTACTGAAATATCTATAGTCAAGCCTCACTAATTCTCACTTTGATTATCTGCAACCCTGATAAAGCCTGCTTGCTTTGTGCCAACTGAGATTTAATAGCACGGCCCTGTATTGGCTGAAAGCGGCTGTGCTACTGAGATAGCAAGCGCCGTATTCCTTTCCCAGCGTGAAGAATATTATTATTGTTTTTACAAATTAAAAGAGAGAGGGAAAAGAAACCATACTACCTTTATATACAGGCGTGTTCCAGAGCATAGTGGTGAACACACTGCTCTAAATTAAAAGTGTCAAAAGAAACGAACGGCTACATTTAAGGCTACAGTGCTTTTGACTGTTTTATTGGACTTGAATGCTTAACTTGCTAATTTGCAAAATTCCAGCATCTGCTGCAATGGGTCTCCCAGCCATTAGCATGAATAACTGATGTTTGGCTGTTGTTTTATACCCATGTGAACGTGGAGAGAAAATTAAACCGATCCTTCTTTCTTTGTTTCTATTAATTTTCTGTGAAATTCACCTCCTTGGGCCTCTCTGTTACTGTAAATATGGGATATAAAATAAAGAAACTTTTGCAACCCATCTTGGACTCTTAAAATGCGGCACACTGTCTGAAGAAGAGGCTGTGTAATTTGAAAGCTGGCTTTCCTCCTTCTGGAATCATTCCCATTAAACAATCAAGGCTGGTTAGGGTTGCCAGAATTGCTGCAGCCTGATCTGAAGAAATCTTGGTTGATTAATTTCATGGGTTGACTCCTTATCAATTAAATCTGCATATAAGCTCATGTGGATGAAAGAAATGGCATACTTTGTCTACATGAAATCCGCACTTGTTGCAGGGGCACCATCTGAGAAAAGGTATCCCCTCTCATGTGTGGAGAGAAGAAAGAATGCCTCTTTCAAAATGGCGCCAGCTATTGTCATGGCTCCAAAGACAGGAGTGCCTGGCGTGCTCTGGTCCATGGGGTCACGAAGAGTCGGACACGACTAAACGACTAAACAACAACAACAAAATTGTCATGGCTCCAGCCTTGAGCTCAGATGAGGAGGAGCCAGTCAAGGCTGGGGCTGCTGTAGCATCAGGTGAAGAACTGAGCCAGGCTCCTAGGCCTCACAGATGCTGCCCTCAATACAGACTCATCTGCCCAGTGGCACCAGCAGGGTACAAGGCAGGAGCCACAGAAAGGCAAAGATGTGGTCATCTTCATGTTGGGAATCTGACGTGAGATACCCAAACAGCAGAGGTTGCCGCCAGTTCTAGCCACCACATAGGGTCCAAAATAGTTTATCGCCTTAGAAGATTAGGTTTCAGAAATAGTTCCTGATGTTGATCTGTGCATACAGCTTGTAAAGGTAAAGGATCCCTGGACGGTTAAGTCCAGTCAAAGGTGACTATGGGGTATGGGGCTCATCTCGCTTCAGACCGAGGGAGCCAGTGTCCACAGACAGCTTTCCAGGTCATGTGGCCAGCATGACTAAACCACTTCTGACAGAACAGAACACTGTGATGGAAACCAGAGTGCACAGAAACACCATTTACCTTCCCGCCACAGCGGTACCTGTTTATCTACTTGCACTGGCATGCTTCCGAATGGCTATGTTAGCAGGAGCTGGGACAGAGCAACGGGACCTCACCCCATCACGGGGATTTGAACCACTGACCATCTGATCGGCAAGCCCAAGAGGCTCAGTGATTTAGACCACAGCGCTACCTGCGTCCCTATACAACTTGTAGGATTTTTCAGATACAGATATATCCAAACAGTGAGTATCTCTGTTGCTCCGTCTTCAAGACGTAACACAGATTTCGACTCTGTTCTCAAGATTCACTGACTGACTACTGAGCTGACATGCCTTAATCACTTATATAGTCAGCCCTAGGCAGTTACCATAGCAACTGGCTTGGCTGACCTTGCACCTGTGGCTTATCTCATCCATGGGACGATGGGTGCCCATGAAGGAAATTAACCCTTTGTTCCATGTCCAGTTCCTCCAGCACTTCAGACCAGTGAACAGGCCCTTTAAGAGCCACAGTCTTCAGGCCCAAGGAGGCTCGGGAGCCTGGGAAGGATGGGCTGGGGGAAGAGACTCCTAAGCCTCAATTCTTCGCCAGCCCGGTTGGAGCAAATTTCTCACTTGGAGCTCTCCGTGGTGCTGCAGCCATTGGTCTACTTTAACTCTTTGGGTACCTGATACAGACAGCCACCTGCAGTTTGCAGCAAGAGGGGGAATTCTTGCAGGTCTCGCTAACGAACACAATGTGTTCTCAGAAAATTGTTCACATAACAAGTCAATCATTTCCAATGATTTCTATGGGGAAATTTCTAATGCATTCCTGACCATGTAATTTTGACAGGGGGGAAACCCTCTGAAATCTTGCAAAAGGCAAACAAGGTAGGAAATAAAGCTCTCCACTAATGGTTCCTCATCATCTTGGGAAAAAGTGACAAGTGGAGTGCCACAGGGTTCTGTCCTCAGCCCATTGTTGTTCAACGTCTTTATAAAAGACTTGGATGAAGAAATTGAGGGGATGCTCCTTCCTTAGAGGTTTATAAGTAGAGGTTAGATGGCCATTTCACATGTAGGATTTAGTTGAGATTCCTGCACCACAGGGGGTTGGACTAGATTACCCTCGGGATCCCTTCCAACTCTACAATTCTATGATTCTATCCCCCCCCCCCATTGTTTTTGACAAAATGGCTACCGTGGACCAGCAAAACACAAAGAAGTAAGGTTTGTTTAAGACTGCTTATTTGTTTACAATACTACACACAGGTCTGGCTGTGTGGATATCTGAATCTGCAGTGTGCATAGCAAGGCTTGGGTACTAATCTCTTGTGTTTTGATAACTGACTTTTCCAACAGCAAGTGTTTGGATAGTGGGACCTGCATGTAAGTACAATAATTATACTTATTATACTTTACCTTACTGTTTTATCTTTTTTGTAAATGGCTTTGAGGTTGTTGTTTTTTTACAATCAAGCGATGCATAAATTTTATGAAATAATAAATAAAATTAAGTGGATTATATACAATGTTGTATACCAATTATTTCTTTTTAAGACTCTTGCATGGTTAATTGGAGTTGCTCTTTCAATCAATCAAAATGTTTTTAATCCAATTAATCTAACCAATCAATCACTCAACGAGATGTTATACCCTAGTTTCCAAGTTTCAACTCACAGAGCCCACTGTACCTTGACCAGTATCTGTGTGGTGAGAGAAGTTGCCTGGACAGTTTAATCCCAAGTCATTACATCAATTGCAGGAAACCCAAATCTCATGGTACCTTTAAAGACTTAACAAATGTATCATGGCATAAGCTTTCATGCCCACGAAAGACAAGCAGGGTCTTCTCTGTGTTGGCATCTCTTGTATGGAATGCCTTTCCTTCTGAAGTATGAATGGTCCTGACTTTCTTTCAGCACCAGTTGCTAACTTCTCTTTGCCTGGGGTTTTGCAAGAGTTTAATGTGATGAGCCTGTGTGCATTCTTAAATGGTATGTTTCTCTTAATCTTTATATTTTATCTGATTCTGTTGTGTTATGAACTGGACTTTTATGTTTTTGAGGATTTTAAATGCAATCCACCTTGGGGTTCTTAATCAATGAAGGGTGTGGCTAGAAATACTCAAATAAAAATTCATGACAATAAAATCAAAGGTTAATAATCCGAACCCTTACCTACCCGCAGCAGCTGAAATCTAATTCCTTTGCATTTCAGGTAGCTGCATTCTATTGACCTTATTTTGGAAATCTCCTTCTAAGAGATTTCTGGAGTATATAGCCTTAGGCAATTAAATGGATTTATTTTTTGTAATTGATGTCCAAAGGAAATAAAGAACACTCAACGATGCGTTAAAAAGGACCCTTAGGAACATAAATTCCCTCGTCGTTACAGCAGCAAAATCTAATGCATCACAAGGAGTGATATTTTACAAAAAGTAATTATACAGGCCACCCTGAGAAGCCTGATCTTGCTGCGTGTAGCGATGCACTCAGCAGACTTCTGCTACCAGTGGGTAAATTAGTTTCACTCGCTACCTGTCCTTAACTGCATCTGAAGCAAGTGGGAGATACATTACAAGTCTCCACTGTGGCTCCTCAGTGCATAGAAGGAGCAGGCAGTTTTCTCCATCAAGCAGTTGGGATCTGAAGGAGGAATAGGGATGGATAGATCTGTGAATTTCAGTTTTTCTCCACTTTCCATTCATGGGGATTTATTAATTTATTGGTTCAGGAAGACAAATTCGGTAGATCTGCAAACCAAACGAATATCCCCACCCCCGCACCCCATAATGTGGAAGTAAGCTATCACTTCATGGAGCAAGATATTAAGGGTGGGAGGTTAAGTTGAATGCACATCTGAGTGAAGATGCTGTCTCTGCTTTGCTTTCAGTGGGATACACATCCAGGCTCATCTCATTGCGGAAATGTTGGGGTTCAATACCCAATATATCCTGTGGGTTCTTCCAGGATGGCCAATAAGATCCAGACTCCAACTGTATATTAAACAGGATGTTTATTTTGGCATTGCAAGGGCAAGGCAACACAACCTCCAACAGCATGCAGTTGAGGGGTGACACACCAAATATGGGGAAAAAGCACATGGAA